ACGGGTACCTGGAACGTCTGGAGAACAGAAACATGGTAGAATTGATCCTGGGAAACTTGCCCACCTCCTTTAGGTGGAAACGTGGCCTGATCACCCACGTGTGCCGGATTTGGCATTTTTTTTTTTTTTTTAAGATGGAGTTTCACCATGATGGCCAGGCTGGTCTTGAACTCCTGACCTCAGGTGATCCACCCACCTCAGCCTCCCAAAGTGCTAGGATTACAGGTGTGAGCCACAGCGCCCAGCCCACAACGTCTTTTAAACATGGATAAGATATGTAGGTAGAAGTTTGAGAATTTTGAAAAGGTGATAATCAAGGTCTTAAAGAGCCTTGAAAGAGTTTTGGAGATTATAAAAATTAACAGGGTTTTAAAATTACTTATTGAAGGAAAAAAAAAGACTTAATTTTTTACTTCACTATAAAAATTTTATTTCAAAAATAAATATAACAAAGTAATAAAAACTGTTAAATTACCTTGCACAGTCTGGGTACAGTGGCTTACGCCTATAATCCCACCACTTTGGGAGGACGAGGCAGGTGGATCACCTGAGGTCTGAAGCTCAAGACCAGCCTGGCTAACATGGCGAAAGCCTGTGTCTACTAAAAATACAAAAATTAGCCGGGTGTGGTGGCACGTGCCTGTAATCCCAGCTACTCGGGAGGCTGAGGCAGGAGAATCACTTGAACCCAAGGAGCAGAGAGGTTGCAGTGAGCTGGGATTATGCCATTGCACTACAGCCTGGGCGACGAGAGCGAAACTCCGTCTCAGAAAAATTACCCTGCACAATCTCTACAAATAAAATCCCTATTTTTTTCCCATTAGTTCTCATATGACCTGAAAAATCAGATCAGTAATCAAGGCGACCATGCATAAATGCACACTGTTCAAAACTAGGGGTACTCTTTCTGTCACAGCCCAGAAAATGGAATGCCTTCTGCTCTCTGCTGTAGCTCACAAAAGCCCAACTCCATTTCTGTGTTTTGGAATGAAGCCATTTAGTCAGAAAATTCTCCTTTATGCTCTTGCTCTTTCTTTTGAGAAGATGAAGTATGAGCATGAGTGTGTGTGTGCGGGGGGAGTAGTGGTGTGGGGCGGGGGAGGAAGGGGAAGACAGGATAGCACCAGGTTTCATATTCTTTCCCTGACCTATCTGTCCTCCCCGGGAATATCTCCAGGCTGAATAATCCCAACATCTTTCTCCTTTCCTGACAGATGTGACTCGCATAGTCTTGGATTCTCGCTTGTCTGGGAGTCAAGAAACTTGGCTCTACCACCAACTAGCAAGTTATTCCACTTCTCTGCCTTCCATTTCTTCATCTATAAACGCAGGGCAAGACCAGTTCTAGGTCAAAATCTTAGGATTTTATCACTTCTGCTCTCTCAATCCTTGCCAAGTTATTGGCATTGCCATAAAGAGTGTGAGTCAGTCCTTCCCACCCATTATACAAACAGTCCCAACCCTTAGTTAATGAACCACTCACACCAGAAGCTTGTCCTGAGCAGTCAGGTGGACAGAGTTAGGTCTAAGAGACTGGGGTACTGGCCAGGTGCGGTGGTTCATGCCTGTAATCCCAGCATTCTGGGAGGCTGAGGAGGATGGATCACCTGAGGTCAGGAGTTCAAGATCAGACTGGCCAACATGGTGAAATCCTGTCTACTAAAAATACAAAAATTAGCCAGGCATGGTGGTGCACAACTGTAATCCCTAGCTACTTGGGAGGCTGAGGCAGGAGAATTGCTCCAACACAGGAGGCAGAGGTTGCAGTGAGCCAAGATTGCACCACTGCACTCTAGCCTGGGTGACAAAGAGTGAGACTCCAACTCAAAATAAATAAATAAATAAATAAAAGAGAGAGAGAGAGAGAGAGAGAGAGAGACTGGGGTACTGAGGATGGAGAGGGTTGTTGTCCTGGGGTTCCCTAGCAGAAAATGGACTCAGACACTCAGCAAAACAAGTGTAAATAGGATGCCCAAACCTTGACCAAGTGTTGAACAGTGCTTGGTTTAATGTAGATCCAGGAGGGAAAGATGAAGCTAGATTATTAGATTTGATTTTAAAGGTAATGAATTGGAAGCAGCTATCACTACCAGAAATAACAGGTTAAAGTGCTGCTTGAGAAAAGGATCCTTCCTATGTAATACACTCTGAAGAGAAGGAATAGGGGGAAGCAAGTAGAGCCTCAAAGAAAAATTACCTATAGAAATGTGATCAGGAATGTGGGCAAGTGGCAAGACGTTGAAATTAGGCCGGGAAGTTTGGGATTGATAAGACAAGCTATTAATAAAAAGTTTACCTGCAATCTGACTGTGGGTGAGAGACAGGGCACACGACCAACTGGTTCAGCTTCTGGAACGCTTCACTCACACCTGTAATCCCAGACCTCAAGGAGTCAGAGGCAGGAGGACTGCCTGAGCCTAAGAGTTTGAGACCAGCTTGGGCAACATAGCAACATCCCATCTTCACACACACACACACAAAAATCCTTGATCTTGTCCTTTTCCTCCTGTGTGTCTTTGCCACCCCAGGTCAGATGTGTCTATATTGTCACTGTCTTCCTCCTTAAACTGAGAGCCTTGTGGGGAGGCATGTTGGCTCATTCATGTTGAAGTCCCAGCACCTGTGTTAACAGTGCCTGGCACTCAGCAGGTGCTCATAAAATGTTTGTTAAATGGGCGGATGTGGTGGCTCATGTCTGTAATCCAAGCACTTTGGAGGCCAAGGTGGACGGATCACCTGAGGTCGGGAGTTCCAGCCTGACCAACATGGTGAAACCCCAGTCTTAAAAAAAAAAGTAATTAAAAAAAATGTTTGTTAAATGAATTTACCAAGAGGAGAATTTCAAAAGTATGTTCAATCAGCACTTATAGATATATCATTCTCTTAGTCAAGAAGTTTTTCCTTATTTATTTTATTTTTAAAATAGAGACAAGGTCTCACTATGTTCCCTAGGCTGGTCTTGAACCCCTGGCCCTTCTGCCTCAGTCTCCCAAAGTGTTGGGATGACAGGCATGAGCCACTGCACCCAGCTAGAAGCTTTTCCTTCTTCCCCACCTAACTCCATTTCATTTATCAAACATACTTTCCCTCCTTAAGTGATGTTTAAATGGTGGGCTTCCACAGGGAATTCGGAGGTGATTGTCCCATTGGTTCTTGTTCTTCCTGATGGCCCTACTTCATTTCTTACCTCTTCTACCTACACGTCTGCTCTTAGAGAGAGGACAGAGGGACAGAATGGGCCGAGAATCAGAAACCTTCCTAAGTGGGTGTCAACTTACTGATTCTTCTTATTTCATCCTGGAGTTGGAAATAGAACAGTAATAAGAGTTGAGAAGAGGACCAGGGAGGCCTCCTGTGAAGCATAGTGAAAAAAAAAGCTGAGTTTAAGTCTAAATCCTGGCCCTGCAACTTATATGCTGTTACTTTACTATTAACATCACACAAAAAAGGAGACACCAGACATTATGTGCTTTCTGATGGAAGAATACAATAACATCTATTAAGTATTCTTGCTGTCAAAACAAAAACTTGAATCTCATCAAGCTCTAAGTCTATCAATTTACAGAAAGTATGGAAGGCATAGGAGCATATTAGACAATACCATGGGAATTCAATTAGCAAAATATAGACTGTAGGAAATTTCAGGACAAACAACCTAGTGTCATCAACAAATAAGCTATAAGAAGGGAGGGATTAGAACACAGATTAAGAGATATAACCTTAAATCTAAGAGACTTAAACATCTCAGTGAGTTGTTGATTTAAACAAACCATAAAGAAACATGAAGACACAATCAGGGGAATTTGAACATTGACAAGATATTTTGTCATATTAAGAAATGATTCTGGCCGGGCGTGGTGGCTCATGCCTGTAATCTCAGCACTTTGGGAGGCTGAGGTGGGCAGATCACCTGAGGTTGGGAGTTCGAGACCAGCCTGACCAACATGGAGATACCCCATCTCTACTAAAAAGACAAAAAATTAGCCAGGCATGGTGACACATGCCTGTAATCCCAGCTACTCAGGAGGCTGAGGTAGGAGAATCGCTTGAACCCGGGAGGCAGAGCTTGCGGTGAGCTGAGACCCTGCCATTGCACTCCAGCATGGGCAACAAGGGCAAAACTCCATCTAAAAAAACAAAAAACAAGAAATCATTCTAGTTTTTTTGTTAAAAGATAGTACTAAAACTTACATTTTCTTGGACTATTTAATCAGAAATATCTGAAAAGATATTTGTATGACATTCATAAGTGAAAAAGGCAAGATGCAAAACCATATGCATGAAATAATCTCACTTCAGTAAATCTCACATTTATTTATTGTGGATATACTTAGATATCATACACACACATAGCAAAGTAATTGTAAAGATATAAAATAACATAGTTATAGTTTAGGAAGACATAAAATCAGAATTGCTTTGTTAACATTGTTTTCTTTTCCCTTTTTTGTTGAGACAGGGTCTCACTTTGTCACCCAGGCTAGAGTGCAGCGGTGCAAACAAAGCTCACTGCAGCCTCGACCTCCTGGACTCAGGCAATCCTCTTGCCTGAGCCTCCCAAGTAGCTAAGACTATTGGAGCATGCCAACATGCCCAGCTAAGTTTTGTATTTTTTATAGAGATGGGGTTTTGCCATGTTGCCCAGGCTGGTCTCAAACTCCGAGCTCAGCACTTTGGCCTCTCGGTGTGCTGGGATTATAGGCGTGAGGCACCATACTGGGTCTATTACTGATTTTTAAATTCATTTTTTTCTTTTTCTTGATGTTCTTTGGGTTGGTTTTTTTTTTTTTTTTTTTGAGACAGGGTCTTGCTCTGTCGCTTAGGCTGGAGTACAGTGGCACAATTGCAGCTTACTGCTCAGTAGCTGGGACCACAGGCGTGCACCACCATGGCCAGCTAACATTTTTTATATTGTGTAGAGATAAGGTATCCTGTGTTGCTGGGTTTGTCTCAAACCCCTAACCTCAGCAATATTCTCACCTCAGCCTTCCGCTCGGAGGTGTGAACCAATGCACCCAACCATTTACTTTCTGGTTTGTTGTAATGAGTACATATTTTATTTATACTGATTTGTTTATTCATTTTTGAGACCAGGTCTTGCTCTGCTGCCTAGGCTGGCATGCAGTGGTATGATCACAGCTCGCTGCAGCTTGGAATTCCCGAGCTCAAGCAATCCTCCTACCTCAGCCTCCCAAGTAGCTGGGACTACAAGCATCTGCCACCACACCTGGCTAATTTTTGTATTTTTTTGTAGAGACAGGGTCTTGCTATGTTGCCCAGGCTCGTCTTGAATTGCTACGCTCAACTAACCCTCTGGCTTTGGCCTCCCGAAGTGCTGGGATTACAGGCATGAGCCACCATGCTCGGCCAAGTAAATGTTTTACAGAGAAACATTTTGAAGTGTGATAATGGTATTGTGGTTGCATTTTAAAAGAGTTCTATCTTTAGAGACTGATCATGAATTTTTTGTTTTTTTTGAGAGAATTTCACTCTGTCGTCCAGGCTGGAGTGCAGTGGTATGATCTCAGCTCACTGAAACCTCCACCTCCCAGGTTCAAGCGATACTCCTGCTTCAGCCTCCCAAGTAAGTGAGATTACAGGTATGTGCCATCACGACCAGCTAATTTTTGTATTTTTAGTAGAGATGGGGTTTCACCATGTTAGTCAGGCTGGTCTCAAACTCCTGATCCCAGGTAATCTGCCCTCCTTGGCCTCCCAAAGTGCTGGGATTACAGGTATGAGCCACTGTGCCTGACCTAATAATGAAATTTTTATGATTATGTAAATGTTGTTGGAATAAAAATGGAGTCACTAATGTTTAAAAAATAATGCCTGATTATAAAGCCAGGGAAAGCTATGAAGAGGAGGTTCTCATGCTTATATGCCTGGTAAGAATTATCACAATAGACCCTATGAAAACCACAACCTTGCACAAAGACCATCACAACCTTATACAAAAAATATTTCTGCAAGGACTTCTGCTCTGTTCTGCCTGTTCAACCTTGGACTGGCGTCACCCTTGTTATTGATCTTTGTAGCCAAGAATAATTATTTTCAAACAATCATGTAATTCTTCTCATTTTTTCCTTTGAGAACATTTGTCTTCCTTTACTTCCCTGAATACCTCATAGTTTACTATGGTACACATATTCCCATTGCAACACTCTATTCCCACATAAATATCTTTTTCTCTTAGACAGCCTCCCTCTGTTATTTAGGCTGGATGAAATGATATATCTGGAATTTGCTTCACAATAATCAAGGACAGGAGAAAGTAAGTGGAGACACAGAGGAAACATGATTGCTCAGGAGGGGATAAATTATGGAAGCTGAACGATGAGTATGTGTGAATTCATTATACAAATTTATCTGCCTTTGTACATATTTAAAACATTCCCTTAAAAAAAAAAAAAGTTTATCAGCCAGGCATGGCAGCTCGTGCCCATAATCCCAGCACTTTGGGAGGCCAAGGCAGGCGGATCACGTGGTCAGGAGGTCGAGAGCAGCCTGACCAACGTGGTGAAATCTCTGCAAAAAATACAAAATTAGCCAGGCATGGTGGTGCACACCTGTAATTCCAGCTACTCAGGAGGCCGAGGAGGCAGGAGAATGACTTGAACCCGGAAGGTGGAGGTTGCAGTGAGGCAAGATCACGCCACTGCACTCCAGCCTGGGTGACAGAGGGAGACTCCGTCTCCAAAAAGAAAAAAAAAAAAAAAAAAGATTTTGTGTTGTCTTTGTCCCTGGTTTCTGGAATTAACTTCTAAATCTTGTGTCTCTGTTATTCATGGTGATCCCGTCAGACTATACCTAAGTTTATGCTAAAAAAAATGACTCAGGATGGTGGCTGGCTAGGCTGGAAAAATCAACCCTGTAACTACAGAGTTGAGGCTCTGAGACAGGTGATGTCAGCCTGACCTCTGCAGGAGGAAGGGGAGCTAGAGATAGATTTAATCATGTAGCCAATGATTCAATGTATAAAGAAACTGCATCAGAACTCCAAGCACCTGAAGCTTACTACATCAATGTGCTGTGAGGGTGACACAGGAGCTTCAAGTTTGTGACCCTCCTGGACCTCACCTTACGTGTCTCTTCATTTGGCTTGTCCTGATTTGTATCTTTGTAATAAAACTTGAGTAGGTAGAAGGAATTCCCAAATGTATAGCCAACTGGTCAGAAGTGCAGGTATTCTGGGAACCCTGGAGCTTACAGCTGGTGTCTAGAAGGAGGGCATTCTTATGAGGACTGTGCCCTTAACCTGTTAAATGTGACGTAACTCTGGATAGTGTTAAAATTGTATTGTGACTGGATATTCTTAAGTTAATAACTCCTTTCCAGTATAAAGAGTGGATAGCAATCTCTAAGGCTAATGTAAAAATTAAATGACACGATGCATGTGAAGCACTGGGCCCAATGCCTTGTTCATGGTAGATGGAAAGGCAAACATCCGTGGAGGTTAAACCTCTGGCATGCCCTTCTTCATGTAAATTTTCTACATGAAATTATCCAGGCCAGGCACAGTGGCTCATGCCTGTAATCCCAGCACTTTGGGGGGCTGAGGGAGGAGGACTGCTTGAGATCAGGAGTTTGAGACTAGCCTGGGCAACATGATGAAACCCTGTCTCTATTTTAAACAAAAAAGATTGAAAAAGAAATCCCAATTGAAATATACAATGAGAATTGGAGGTTTGTTGGTGGCAATGCTAGGTCAAAGATAGAGGTATTATTTTAGATTCAGGGCTCAGGTGTGGTAGATGTAGTGAGTAAAGAGGCAATGAGAAAAACATGGGGCTACTGATAGGCGAGGAGCCCTAGGGTGGGAAAGAGACACTCTGGGGAAGTGAATAAGCCAAAAACTAAAGGGGCAGGGCCTCACTTTGATGCTGTGTAAGGACCTGATGATGCCACTGTACCTGGGCAGTCCTGAGGGGAACAATTAAGAGAAAAGAACATTTCTGGCTGGGCATGGTGGCTCACACCTGTAATCCTAGCACTTTGGGAGGCTGAGGCAGGGGAATCGCGAGTTCAGGAGTTCAAGACCAGCCTGAGCAACATGGTAGCAACATCGCTGCTGAAAATACAAAAATTAGCCAGGTGTGGTGGCTCATGCCTGAATTCCCAGCTACTCAGGGGGTAGAGGCAGGAGAATTGCTTGAACCCAGGAGGCAGAGGTTGCAGTGAGCCGAGATTGTGCCATTGCACTCCAGCCTGGGCGACACAGCAAGGCTCCATCTTAAAAAAAAAAAAGAACATTCCTCTGTTCCCCAGAATGACAGCAGCAAGAAAAAAGGTAAAGTCATTTTATTATTTTTTTATTTATTGTACTATTTTTTTGAAACAGAGTTTTCGCTCTTGTCCAGGCTGGAGTGAGGTGGCTTGATCTTGACTCACCATAACTTCTGCGTCCTGGGTTCAAGCAATTCTCCTGCCTCAGCCTCCTGAGTAGCTGGAATTACAGGCGCACGCCACCATGCCTGGCTAATTTTGTATTTTTAGTAGAAACGGGGTTTCTCTATGTTGGTCAAGCTGGTCTCAAACTCCTGACCTCCGATGATCCATCCGCCTCAGCTTCCCAAAGTGCTGGGATTACAGGTGTGAAACACCACGCCCAGCCTTTATTTTTATTTATTTATTTTTTGAGATGAAGTTTCGCTCTTGTCACCCAGGCTGGAGTGCAATGGCGCGATCTCTGCTCACTGAACCTCTGCCTCCCAGGTACAAGTGATTCTCCTGCCTCAGCCTGCTGGGTAGCTGAGATTACAGATACCTGCCACATGCCCGGCTAATTTTTTATATTTTTAGTAGAGACAGGATTTCACTATGTTGGCCAGGTTAGTCTCAAACTCCTGACCTCAGGTGATCCTCCCGCTTCAGCCTCCCAAAGTGCTGTTATTACAGGCATGAGCCACCGCGCCTGGCCAGTAAATTCCTTTAGTTTACTGAGGAAGG